TTTTTCTGAAATTAAATGTACTATGTTACGAATCTTACTAAGCACGGGTTGTCTCTTTGGAACAGGTGAAAGAGATAGAAATTGATTTCAGAGCTGAAAGGTAAAGATAGGTAAGGTTGTCGGGCTTCCCTGATGGCGCAGTGGCTGAGAATCTGCCTGCCAATGCAGGGGACATGGGTTTGAGCCCTGGTCTGGAAGGATCCCACATGCCATGGAGCAACTAGGCCCGTGAGCCACAACTACTGGGCCTGCGCATCTGGAGCCTGTGATCCGCAACAAGAGAGGCCACGACAGTGAGAGGCCCACGCACCATGATGAAGAGTGGCCCCTGCTCGCCGCAACTAGAGAAAGCCCTCACACAGTAAACGAAGACCGAACACAGCCAAAAATAAAATTAAATAAATAAATAATTAATTAAAAAAAAAAAAGATAGGTAAGGTTGGTTCGGTAACATGGTAAGATGGAGTCAGGTAGATCTGAGTTTGAATCCAAATTTAGCTACCTTATGGCTGGGTAACATTTAACAAGTTTCTTCACCTCTCTGAACTTCGGCTTCCTCATGTGTATAGAGTTCAAATGTCTAATAATTTAACAGCTATTGCCCACATAATTAGGAGATACTTATTTACTTTAGGAACACACCATTTATTTCTCAAAGTCCCACATGTACTCACAAAACAGTCTCAAATGCAAACTGCCTTGTTCTCCACAAGCACTGCCTGCTGAGTATCTTAGAGATGCCTTACAGTTGTTGCTAACCACAACAAGAAGACAATGCTAATGCCAAGTGTGGTAGCCCCCAAGATGATTCAAAGTTTTGGAGTAATGCATTCTGCATTAATAGGCAATTAATATATATTTTATTATAAAGAGTGAGGTGCTTCCATAACGAAAACCTAACCTAAAATGTTGGACTGGTTTGGAATTGGACAGTGGGAGAAGCTGGAAGGACTTGGAGGAGAGTGTTAGTGAAAGCCTGAAGAATCTTGAAGAAACTGCTATTAGAATCCTGATGGCTTTTGAGAAAGCTGTAGATAAAGGCTTAAGGGGAAGTGAGGAAAAAGATATTGGAAACTGGAGAAAAAGGGTCCTTGTGATGTAGTGGCAGGAATTTAGCAACACTGTCACCTGCAGTAATGTGGAACGTAGAAAATTCGCCTAATTAATTGGGTATTCTAGCTAAGTACATTTCCAGGTAGAGTGTTGAAGGTGCTGACTGACGTCTTCTTTCTGATGATAGCAAAATGTGAGAAGAAAGAGATGATATACAGAAGTAATTTTTAAAAAGGATCCAGAGCTTTGCTAGACTTGAAAATTCCCATCTTCTTTAGATGGCAAATAATGCTAAAATGAAGAAATGGCTTCCAGTTAAAAATAAACTCTAGGGTGCTGCAAGGAAAACATCACCAGATGATGAAGGTGAGAGTGTGGCCGTAAAACCCTTTGTTCAGATCTCAGAAAGAGCTACAGCAGTGATTCAGACTCATTCAGACAAACAATAGGGCTTTAAAGAAGCTTATGAGTGTTGTGCCCCAGCAGTTTCAGCAGAATGACTCTCCAGAGTAGAGGAGAGCTTATCTTGAAGAGATTTGTGGGTATGACTTTTGTCCAATGGAGTGGTGCCCCAATTAGATTCACAGGAGGCTCACAAAATTTTTAAATGAATGATATTGGCCAAAACACTGCCAGCATGGACTGAATGGGACAGAGACAGTACAAAATGAAAAGGAGACTTTGGACCCCTAAATTCTACTAACAGAAAGCAGACTGACAAATTACATAGATGCAAACATGGGTCTCTTTTCATAGAAAAGGAAGGATGACTCAGAGGGTGGAATCAAGAGCCCAGTGGGGGTAAAGTCAAAAGCCATGGAGAGTCATTTCCAGAAAGAAGTAGGATTGAGCCCTAATCAGGGAACTTCTAACATGTGTCCAGCTGGATTTTAGGATTGCTATGGGCCGGTGACTCTTCTATGCCTCCTGTCTTTTCTTCTTTTTGAACAGGAGTGTCTGTACCAGTTATCCTAAGCTTGTCCCACCGTTGTATGTTGGGAGGCATTCAGATGAAAAGAATGAGTGTTGAACTATACTTGAGGAGCTGCATATAAGACACTACACCTAGGAGCCTCATCCACACCTGGACCTGATTTAGATGATAAGATTCTGGGCTTTGAGCCGATAATGTAATGAGTTGAGAGTTTTGGGCATCTTGGGAGGAAGTGAATGTATGTTGCATTTGAGAGAGATATGAATCATTGGGGGCCAAAGGGCAGAATGTGGTATCCAGCCTCAAAGATGGCCCTAAAGATCCCCACCTCTTGGTATTCATGTCCTACACAAACAGTCCCCTCCCATACAAAACAGGGCTCATCTCTGTAACTAATAGGCTATGTTGGAAATGATGTTGTGTGACTTCTGAGCTTTGGTCATATAAGACATTACATCTTCCACCTTGCCCTCTCTTGGATCACTTGCTATGGGAAAATCCAACTGCCATGTCATGAGGATATTCAAGCAGCCCAGTAGAAAATGGTGAGGGGCTTCCCTGGTGGCGCAGTGGTTGAGAGTCCGCCTGCCGATGCAGGGGACACGGGTTCGTGCCCTGGTCCGGGAGGATCCCACGTGCCGCGGAGCGGCTGGGCCCGTGAGCCATGGCCGCTGAGCCTGCGCGTCTGGAGCCTGTGCTCTGCAACGGGAGAGGCCACAACAGTGAGAGGCCCGCATACCGCAAAAAAAAAAAAAAAAGAAAAGAAAAGAAAATGGTGAGACCTCTTTGGAACAGCCACGAGAAGGATCCATCTTAGAAGCAAATCTTACATTTCTAGTCAAGTCTTCAAATGACTACAGCCCCAGCCAACAGCTTCACTGAGATCTCTTGAGTGACCCGGAGCCGGACCACCCAGCTAAGACACTCCCATATTCTTGACTCCGGAATGTGTGAGATAATAAAAGTTCATTGTTTTAAGCTGCTACATTTTGAGGTATTTTTCTATGCAATAATGGATTAATATAACAAGGTTTCTATCTCTGGATACTCCCAAAGTCTCCAATTCCTGTGGAATCAGACCATTCTGATTTTTGTACGGAGGGGCACAGAAGGTCCATCTCATGAGTCTGCCATACTCCATCCCCAGAATTTTATGAAGTCCCGTTTTTTTTTTTTTTTTTTGCATTATGTGGGCCTCTCACTGTTGTGGCCTCTCCCATTGCGGAGCACAGGCTCCGGACGCGCAGGCTCAGCGGCCATGGTTCATGGGCCTAGCCGCTCCACGGCATGTGGGATCTTCCCGGACCGGGTCACGAACCCGTGTCCCCTGCATCGGCAGGCAGACTCTCAACCACTGCGCCACCAGGGAAGCCCTATGAAGTCCCTTTTTTAATAGTTCCATCAACTTCTGTCTCTTAAGACCCTCTCAGCACAGAGGACTCAAAGAAGGTTTGTAAAGTGTTAGATACTGAACTGCATAGTATATTTTAACTTTCTGTTAGGTAAAATTAAGGACAAACAATAATGACAACAAAAAGACAATTTCTGGAGAAATGAATTGGAGAAAAATAGAAATGTGGACGGAACGAGAACAAAACAAATCTTTGGACCTTTCCCCCCACATTCTATAGAGCTGTCCTGAGGTTAATAAAACAAAATTTTTTTTTCAAAATAAAATCTCTGACAAAAGCTGCACAGAAATTAAGCATACATTATATGTGGCTATATTAAAAATTATTTTAAATGAGTTTTACCCCACTCCATCCCCTGGCATTTTTGTGAAGATCATCTGGAAATCCTAGATCAGAAGTATCTAAGGGACTCAGTGAAAAACACACCATTCCATCCCCTTTCCTTCTTCTCAACCACATCTCCGCCTCTCTCTGGACTAGATCAAAATGTTCATTTCCTCTCCCAAGTACAAATCGAAAGCTCTTCAATGAGCGGTGAGACATATATATGGGGTAGAGGTGAGGAGTTGCTTACACCAGCAGCCAGCCGAAACGTGTCAAAAATGTTTAAAACCTCCTTCAAAGGGTCATTATGTGCACTAAATATAATTCATGCCAATAATAGTTAAAATGTAGTGAATATCTACAAGGCAGGCACCTTTACATTTCATTCACAAAATGGCCCCATGAGGTACGTATTACCATTATTTCCACTTTACATATATATGTACTTTATATATATAAAGTGGAAAACAGAACGATCAGTTAGCTTCTTCATGGTTGCAAAGCCAATAAGTTGTAGTACCAGGATTTGAGGGTCCTTGGGCAGTGGCTCTTCCAAACTTGGGAGCCACAAAAAGATCTAGCCCGATTCTTGGCACTTCAGTATTGGTTAATAAATAACAGTCCCTTTCCTTTCTCTTGGAATCCAATCTGAATCTAGATGGGCTCCTTACATAAAGGATGAGGTCTGCACACCGGAACTCTCACTCCACAAATACTGTCTCTCCCTACCTACCTCCCCTGACATCTCAGCCAAACCTAAGGCAAGCTCTCAAAAAAAGGCGCAGAGGTTACCATCCTAGAGGTTCTGAGCCCCTAGGAGAGCAGGAATGCAAATAGACTTTGCAAATAGGCAAAGCATAGAATCGCTTTAGATAGAAAACGTCTGTTTGCTCAACCTGACTCTGATTCCCTGAGCCTGGGAGAGCAAACACAACCCTTCCCCCTGAAAATCCCAAGGGGTCAGGTTCAGTCTGGTAAACAACACTCCGTCCTGGCATCTTGCAGAACAGGCAGCAGAGGGGACTGGGACGGGCAGCAACAAATTGGAAGGAGGGAGGCTGAAATGCACCTGTACACCTGCCTAGTGGCCTTGAAAAGTCAGGTTGGCACCTCCAGGGAGGAAGTGGAGGAGGAGGGGCCCAATTCCCGCCTCCAGAGTGAGCTGGAGTGAATCAGAGACCTCATCCATCCTCTCCCTCCTTCGGGGATGCTGAACCCCTGCGGGAAACGCAGAAAAGGGCCATTGCCACTTTAAATGACTCAGGAAGTGAAAGCAGGCCGCCTGACGGGGACAGGGAAAGTGGAACCGGGGCGGCGCGGGGGCCGACGGCACCGCGATCTCGCCGGGGCAGCGGGGGGCCGAGCGGGCGGCGCGGCGCAGGGGCCGACGGGGGCGCAGGGCGGCTGCGCCGGAAGTGTCCAGAACGCCGGAGGAAGCGCAGCGGCCGGCAGGCTGCCGAGCCGGCGGCGAGGCCCAGTGCTCCTGGGCTGGGTGCGGGCAGCTGGGAACAGGCGGCAGCGGCGCCAAGGCTGCGGGACACGGCGCGGCCAGTCTGCGGGACGGGCCCCAGGTGGAGAGGAGGACGCGAGGAGGCCGCGCCGAGGCCAGGCAGCGAGCTCTGAAGCCCGGAGACCCGGGCCGCGGCACAGCTCCCACATGGCCTCCGGAGGGGGCGCGGCCTTCGAGGAGCTGCCGCACGACGGCACGTGTGATGAGTGCGAGCCAGACGAGGCTCCGGGAGCCGAGGAAGTGTGCCAGGAATGCGGCTTTTGCTACTGCCGCCGCCACGCGGAGGCGCACAGGCAGAAGTTCCCCCGGCACCACCTGGCCGAGTATGTCCACGGAGCCGCCCAGGCCTGGACCCCGGGAGCCCGGGGGGATGGGGCGGGAGAGGAAGAAGTCGAGGCCCAGGTAGAGAACGAGAAGGCCCTAGAAAGCGAGGCGGGGGAAGAGAGCGAGTCCGAGGAAGACTGTGAGTCTGAAGAAGAGAGTCAGACGGAGGAGGAGAGCGAAGACGAGAGTGAGGAAGACAGTGAGGAAGACAGTGAGGAAGAAATGGAGGATGAGCAAGAAAGCGAAGCAGAGGAAGACAACCAGGAGGAAGGAGAATCGGAAGCGGAGGGAGAAACTGAGGCAGAAAGCGAATTTGACCCAGAAATAGAAATGGAAGCGGAGAGAGTGGCCAAGAGGAAGTGTCCGGACCATGGGCTCGATTTGAGTACCTATTGCCAGGAAGATAAGCAGCTCATCTGTGTCCTGTGCCCAGTCATTGGGGCACATCAGGGCCACCAGCTCTCCACCCTAGACGAAGCCTTCGAAGAACTAAGAGTAAGTATTGGTCATTCAGAGCATAGGCCAGGAGGTCAGGACACCTGGGTTTCAACTCAGGGGGCCTCCCTGTGGCCACATTAACTTTCACCATGTCCCTAAAAAGCTGGTCTGTTCATCTTGTTGGGAGCAGTGATTATTGACCCTTTTTGATTGACGTCCTTTGAGAGTAAGATGAAAGTTCTGGACTCTGACCCTAGAAAAATAAATGTACACGCAAAATCTAGTTTACAATTTCTGGAAAATTATAAGCTTCTGGTCTCCGTATCCCAGGTAAAGCATTCCTTGGGATTTTGACTCCACTTAAGCCTATTCCCACAACATCTTCATTGTTGAGACTGGTTAAGGCTCTTGACCAGGAATTGGTAAACCATGGTTTCACCAGATGAATCCAAGCAGATGGTTCCTCTATAGTGAAAAGACTCCCTAAGGTTGTGGTTTTGATGATAATTTCATGTGTGCCCCTGAGTTCCTTTTAGGTTCTTCATGTTTGGTAGTTGTTTGGAAAGGAGGGTGAGAAGGTGGAGGCGAAATTGGGATGGGAGTGGGTGTTCCCTGGTCCTCCATCTTTTGCAGGAGGGCAGGGCCTTTATCTTGAACCTTGCTGGTCTGCTAGAACAGTGTATGGAAATCTTACAAATATTAATAAATATTTGTTGAATGAATGAATTTGCAGATAATTTGCTTTTTATTTATATTGTGGATATTTACAATCAGTGAGAGAGACAGCTGGAGTTAACCAGGCAGGAAAGTTTGAGTGATCAGTTCATTAGTTATTGTTGTCATCATGACATCTTTTGTTTCCTGAAGCAACCTTGCAGTTGCTGGCACTGGGATAACAAATATTTTGATAATGAAAATCCCCTATATTAAGATTTTCCCTTTTTTATTGTAAAATACACACTCAAAGTGTATAAAAACATACGCACAGTCTAACAAATAACTATAAAGCAAGTACTAATGTAACCTCCACCCTGATTAAGAAATAGAATATTAGGAGCAATATTGAAGCCCCATGCCCTTTTTATAATTTTCTAGTTATAACCATCTCCCTTCTCCATAGGTCACCATTATCCTGACTTTTGTGGTGATAATATCCTTGCTTATCTTTATACTTTTACCACATATTTATGTATTTCTAAACTTATTTGAACTTGACACGATTGATATTGTATTGTTATCATGCATTCTTTTGGGTTTTGCTTTATTTTTTCAACATTGTGTGAGATTCTTCCAGTGAGTGGCTGTGGTTTGTCCATATTCATTGTTGTATAGAATTCCATTTTATAAATATGCCACAAGTTAGCTATTCTGTCAAGGGTGAACATTTGATTTCCAGATTCTGGAACTTCTAGTTATTATAGACAGTGTTGCTATAAACATTCTTGTTCATGTCTCCTGCTGCACATCTACATACATTTAAATGGAATATAAACCTAGGAGTGTGATTGTTGGGTCACACACTGTGCATATCTTCAGTAATATTAGATGTTGTCAACTATTTTCCAAAGTGGTTGTACCAATTTGCATTGCCATGAAAAGTGTAAGAGAGTTCCTTTTGCTCAGTATTTTCACCAACACTTGTTATTACAGAATTTTTAGTTTTTGTCAGTCATATGGATATGTAATGGTATCTTCTTGTGGTTTAAATTTGCATTCCTCTGGTCGCTGATGACTTTGAGTATCTTTTGTATTTCTTCTTTTGTTAAGTACTCATTCAGGTCTTTTGCTCATGTTTCATTTGGGTTGTCTTTTTCTCATTAATTTACAGGAGTTTTTATATTTATATTTTTGACTGTGGTTGATATGGGTTACAAATATCTTCTACTCTCTTTTTTCTTTTTTAAAAAATTGTACCTTGAACAGAGAAGTTTTTCATTTTAACGTAGTAGAATTTATCAATAACATTCTTTATTATTAGTGCTTTTTGTGTCTCGTTCCACTTAGTATTGATTTTTGGGTAGTGGAGGTAGGGGCTTAGTTTCATTTTTTACCCTGTACAGATAGCCAGTTGCTCTAGCAGCATTTATTGAAAAGCCTATCCTTTCTGTACTGATCTGCTGTGTCACCAGTCATATATCAAGTGCCCATATGTGTATGATGTGTTTCTTGGCTCTTGTATTTTATACCATTGATCTGTTAGTATATTCCTGTATGAGCTACATGTTTTCTCAGTTACCATAGGTTTGTAACATGTCTTAATATCTGGTAGAGCAAGTCTATCCACTCTGTTCTTCTAGAAGAGTGTCTCAGCCAGCCTTGGCCTTTTACATTTCCTAGAATCATACCATGAAGTTCTGTATTAAGAAAAAAAACAAACCTGCAGGACTTTTTTTTTTTTGTATTGTATTGTATTGAAATTATAAACCAATATATGGAGAATTAATACCATTACAAAATGAAGTCTTCTGATCCATTTATTTAGGTCTTTTGTATTGCCTCACAATAAAGTTTTGTAATTTTTTTTTTCTGAAAGATCTTGGACATCATTCTGAAATTTATTCCTGGATACTTAACAGTTTTATAGTATTGTAAAAAATGTTTTTAATTTTTGTTTTCTAATTGTATATAGGAATATGATTAACTTTCATATATTGATTTTCATATTAAACTGTCTTACATATTCTAATAATCTGTAAATTTATTCTACACACATGATCATATTATTTGCAAGAGGGAAAGCTTTTGTATCTTTTCAGTCCTTATGCCTGTTTGGTTTTTTTTTTTTTTTTTCCCTTGCCTTAATGCTTGGGATAGGACCTCCAGTATAATGTTGAATAGAAGGGATAGTGAATATTTGTGCCTTGTTCTTAATTGAGGGATAATTCATAACATTTCACAAGTGTGCTAGTGGGTTTTTTTCCCACAGATATATTTAATTAGATTAAGAAAGTTCCCTTCTAGTCCCAGTTTGTTAAGAGTTTTTCTTAATATTGAATTTTATCAAATGCTTTTTCTGCATCTGTTGCATGTTCGTGTGATTTTACTCTTTTATTAATGTGATGAATTACATTAATTGATATACTTATTAAATTAAATTTAAAAATCAGTATTATGTTCACATGTTTCAAAAGCCTCTTTTTCACCTTTGGTAACCACTTTTATTAGTTTTTTGCTTATCGTTCAAGTGTTTGTTTTTTCAGATACAGGTGTGTACATATATACGGTCTTATTTCCATCCCTTCATTAGTATATTTTACAGTTAAAACAACCTGGCATTTCTGGGAGAAACTCAGCTTGGTTGTGATGAAGTATCCTTATGTTTTTGAATTTAGTTTATTAATAATTTATGTAGGATTTTTTCATTCATATTTATGGGAGAAGTTAACTTGTAAATTTCCTTTCTTGTAGCGTCCTCATGAGATTTTGCTATCAAGGCTATGTTGGCTTCATAGTATGAGTCAGGAAGTGTTGCTTCTCGTGTATTTTCTCCCTCTTTTAATGCTCTGGAAGTGTATTATATAAGATTGGAATATTTCTTCCTAGAATGATTGGTAGAACTGACCATGGAAGCCATCTGGATCTGAAAAGAGAGAGAGAGAATTAATTTTGTTGTTTTGTATCCAACATTGGATACATTTGTTTTGTATCCAATCCATTGACTGTGGATTCAATTTATTTGGTGGTTATAGGTCTGTCCAGGTTATGTATTTTTCTTTAAGTCAATTTTGATAAGTTACATTTTCCTAGAAGTTTGTCCATTTTGTCTAAATTTTCAAATGTACTAGTATAGATTTGTGAATCATATCCTCTTGTTATCTTTTTTCATGGTGTAGCTATCCTCTTTATTCCTTTAAGAACAGTAAGTATGTTGATTTATAATCTGTCATTGATAATTCCAGTATTTGAGGACTTTATAGACCTTTCTCTGCTAGCTATTGTTTTTGTGGTGTTTTTTAGGTTTCCTTCTTTCCTTTTGTGCTTGTTATGTTCGAGTAGCTTTTCATTGCCTTTGAAAAATTATTTGTGGGGATTTCCCAAGCCTTGGCCTGAAGCTGTAGTCTTCGAAAGAGGATTTGAGTTTGCTTCTGATAAGGCCTAAGTGTACAGCTTGTTTAGGACCCCCTTAAACTAAATTAATTGCATGAGAGATTTCTTGGAACAGATTTTCAGGAGGTGCCTGCCCAAATTTACAGCCTCTTAAAGAATTTCTTTCATCCTGTCCTGCACCCCATCCCCACCCCCCGCCCCGTTTTGTTCGGCTCCAAGGCATGGCTCCCCACAATCCTCTTTGGAGCGTGAGATAGCGGCAACTTTAGTTTGTCTTTACTCTAGAATTTTACTCTTTGGCAGTGGTAGGAGGGTCAAAAGTCTGTATGGAAAGGGTCTCCTTTAAATGTCCCACTCTGAGCATGCTGTAGGCTTTGCTTTCTTTTATCTTCCCCCTGCCCACCTCACTTGCTGCCTATAATCAAATGCACATCCCAGTTTCTTGTGATCGGTAAATGTACTCAGATCAATAGAGCTGTTTCCTGTACTCTGCTTATGTTAACACTGGAACAGTATTACTTAACTATAGACCTTATTAGACGTTCACCAGTTTTTCCTCTAATGATTTCTGTACCAGGGTCCTCTGGCCATATTACATTTTCTTGTTTTCAATGATCATGATAGTTTTGAGGAGTGCCAGTCAGGTATTTGGTAGACTGTCTCTCAGTTTGGATTAGTCTGATGTTTTTCTCATGGTGAAACTGGAATTGTGGGTTTTGGGGCAATATAAATTCTCTTTTATGTTTTGCTTTTTTCACTTATCAGTATGTCTTGGAAATCACTCCATAGGTGTGCCTATTTATTTATTCATTTTAGCTGCAAATACTCTAGTGAGTGTCAGTCATTAAATTCTTAATTTATGATATTGTGTTTTGCAGCTCTAGAATGCCTGTTTGGTTATTTTTTTTAAAGATCCATTTCTCTTTATCTTTTGGGATCTGATTCCTGATTATATGCCACATTTTCATGATTATTCTCATCGCATAATTTTTCATTCAATACCAGACATT